TCTCCAGGAAGGCAGGGTTGTCCAGGCGGGAGCACACGATGCAGCGGTCACGCGGCCTGCCTGGAGCAGAGGGTGATGGCAGGTTTGTGTGTGCCCGGGGAGCGAGCACAAGTGAGGACCCAGCGCTGCCTGCACTGCTCCGTCCTGCTCGGTCGTGCCACCTCCGCGGGAGCACGGCGGGACGGCCCCACGCTGCAGACAGCCTGCCCGCTCCCGCCCGGCCACTGTGGCTGAGGCCCATCGCGGTCTTGGCCCTCTCCAGGTCTGCCCCGTCGTCCTGGCTGCCACCTGTGCTCATCGTCCGGGGTATTTCCAGTGTTTGGCTGTGAACAGTGATGGCTTTTTATATCATTAAACAATGATAGTCCACGTCACACTGCTCCGCATGTTACTAGCAAGTCTTTGAAATTTGGCGTTTAAAGTTTATGTGGTGTTCAGCCTTACAGTTCTGCTTACTAAAGCCACCATTTCCACGGTGTCGGCTTAAGCTTTTTTATTGTGGGAAAGCTTCAAATATAACTGTCAGTACAAGGCAGTGTCACGAGCAGCGGTGTGCCCACAGAACAGGGTCAGCAAATGGTAGTGTTTGTTTCACATCTTGCCCTCTTTAAAGAAATTCATTAGGCTTTTCTGAAGGTCCCATCTGTCCCCTCAAACAGGTTTCTTTGTTTTCTTACCTTCTATGTGTGGGATCATCGGGGGCTGTATTGTGCGTGTCATTCTGCCCTTGCTGGTTTTGGAGATGTGTCTGTGTGTCCGTCTGTTCCCATCTTTATCTCAAGCTGGAGCACATGGTACTGATGTCAGGCCCCAGGGTCTAGGTCAACTCTGCCAGAGAGAAGCCACGGCGCTCTCACGTGGAGCAGAAGGTCAGCCTCATCTCCCTCCCTTTCGATTCCTGAACATCATCCTCAGGCTCGACATCTGTTCCCATGACCTTTCATTAAGATTTTTGGGAGTTTATTTTAGTCCATGTACTGTGAAGTGATACAGCCTGTCTGGTCTCATGGCTTTTTGAAAGGTCGTTTTTTAAAAAACACCTGAACCATCAGTCACTTTGGGGTAACGTGGCAGCCATTCGACAAGGTGTCTTTGCAGGATGACCAGCTCATCGTCAGGTCTGTTGGTGGCTTCTCAGGGCGTGGTGACAAAAGGGCATGGCCACTTCAGTTGGCAGGGACTCTCCCTGCAGGTTGTGCATTTCCGAAATCCACAGCGGACAGAGATTGATTTGTTGTGGGCAGCCACGTGAGGCATTGGTGCTCCTTCCTGCTCCCCATCTCTGCCAGCCCATGTGCACGGCATCCTTTGCTGTGGGACTGCGCCGTTCTGGCTCGGCGTGAGTGAGCCGGGAGCTCGACAGATTTGGATACAACTTGGGTGCATCCGTCGCTCGTCAGCTTCTGCTCTTGAAGACTCGGGTGCTGTGTGGGCTTGAGTGATGCTGCACCATGAGGTCCACGTGCGCTGTCCAGTCTCTGTGGTGGTAGAGGTGCTGGGGGAGCAGCCCGCTGGCTCCCAGCCATGGGCTGCTCTGTGCCCACAGTCCCACGATCAGGAAGGCTGCCCTCGTCATGGTGAACTGCTCCAGTTCCCGGAGTTCTTACTCCTGCTGGCCTGAGTGTGCTTCCCCAGGGTCCGTGGTTCTGTCAGGTGCTTACTTGCTTGATTCTCAGCCCTGCACTCAGCCTGCCCATGCTTCTCTGCAGATGGCAGCCTCTGGCTCCTCTTGGGGGGCCTGGCTGTGTGGGTGTGCCAGCTCTGAGCCCCCGGGAGCTGGTGCTCCTGGAAAGTGACCGGGTTCAGCCCCTCAGAGCTGGCCGACTTCCTCTCCTCCTGCTTCTGCCTTCACCATCTTTGGCCTGTGGCCTGTGGCCTGCCTTCGGAAGCTACTCATCTGGAAGACGATGGAAGCAAGTTACACAAGATTCTCCATGTGGCTTTGTGTCTTCACTTCTGTACGATATCAGTGCTGAGTAAATACATCCATTTCAATACGGTTAATGTCGTTGGAAAATTTGACCTTATAGGTGTTGAAAATGAGTATTGGTGGTAGGGAACATATTGACTTGTTCTTTGAATCTGAATTTTCAAAGCTATGTTTTTTGTACAACACTTGAAAATCATGCATCCATTGGCATTAGAGAATTTTAAGAGTTGATGACTTTGGTACTCATTTGTTTGGTTGGCCTAACGTCTCTGCAGCTAAATGCCTGGTGGTAGATGAGTCTGTGCTAGGCGGGCTGGGGCGTGGGTAGGCCGACTGGTTCTCAGCAAAGCTTCTTGGTCAACACCATTCTTGGTTAAGATGTGTCTTCTCTTACTTCAGGGAATGGCTGAGCAGGTCCCTGGGGGTGCAGTGGGTAACTGAGGCAGTGGGTGCTGGGCAGCGTCTCGCCCACAGCACTGCTAACTTAGCGTAGCTGTCAGGCTGCCATGCGTGTGCTTTTCTCATCATTCACAAAGAAGTCTGGACATTTTTTTAATTGTGAAAGTATTTTTCATATAGTAATTAAACACTGTTTCCACTCGTCTGTCTCCGTCTGCATAGTCTGCTGACAACAGCCCTTCTCTCAGAGTGTCTGTGAATGGAGGAGAGTGACAGGTTGGCGGTGTTAACCTCCACACGCGAGCCAGGGTCAGTCCCGAGAAAGACGGCCTTGTCACATGGCACCCAGTGCTCTGCTTATTGGCTCGAGGGCAGTGACAACCAGAACTCGAGTGCAGGGAGGTGCGCCGCATCCAGAGGCAGGCCTGGCTTGCTGGGCCGTCCTCCAGCCTTCACAGAAGTACAGACAGATTAATTCACTTATTGGACTAGGTTCTGATAGATTAGTAACTAGCTTTGTAGGTTCTCAAAGGTTTTTTTATTTGACGTTGGTGATTACAATGTGATTTTAGAAAATGTTCTTTCTTTGGAAATCTTTGCTTTTAAGTTACAGTTTATTTTTGTTTTTAAAGAAGTTTGTGCTTTTCAGGAACTTTGTAGCACATATTGGCCCAAAATAGAGACAAAAGGATCCCCTTCCCTGGAATGCTGCTAATTGGCATGGCCGACATTCCGTGTGGTTACTCAGAAGTTCGGTGGGGCGGGTCAGCCACAAGAGGTTGTAAACTGCGCTTCTCATGGTGACTTAAATTGTAGTGTTAGAGCTTGAATGGAGTTCCTAGTGTTCTGGATACGATTCAGAATCTCCTGAGAAGGAACTGAACCAGTTACAGCATCTTATGTCTCAGACTCGGAGGTTCCGATCTCCTGGGTCTGAACTATTTGATCAGGAATGTTTCCCTCTGTGTTTGCATGTGTACACATGTGTGTATGTACGTGGGGTTTGTTTATGAACATGTGTGTGTGTGTATCGGGGGTGAATGCACATACGTGTGCAGGACATGTCACACGTATGGGCATGTGGGTGAGTGCACGTATGTAATGAACGTGTGCGTGTGGGGCATGTATAGGTGTGAATGCGTGCGTGTGTCATGAATGCACAGCTGTGGGGAACATGCACGTGCGGCTGTGTGTACGTGCATGTGGTGAATGAGCGTGCGTGTCTCTGGGGTGAATATGGTGAGTGTAGTGAACACGTGTGTACACACATGTATGTGTGGTCAGTGCATGCGTGTGCGTGTGTTTTGTGTGTGGTGACATGTGAGTGTGTGTGCGCCACCGTTCCCAGTTACTCGCCCCACAGCTGTGGAAGTCCTGTCCCCAGCTCCTCTCAGTGCAGGCGTGTGCTGGGCACTTGGAGTCGGGCTCTTGCAGCCGGCTGTGGCTTCCAGGCGCGTGGGTCCTTGTTGGGTGGGGGGAAGTGAGCCGCTGCCCCTCCCTCCTGGCTCCACCAGGCCTGGGTGGCTCTGGAAGCTCAGCTTACATACCAGTGGGAATTTTCTTTCAGAGAATGAGAGGGAGGGTTTGGGTTTGGGGGTGCTTTAGTACTATTTTTATTTAAATGTGTTTATCTTGGCAAGTATTGGGGCTCCTTGTTTGGCCTTGAGTCGCCCAGATTCTGAAGTTGGAGGAACACTTTTCCTGGTAAAGGATGTTGGCGTTCAGGGGTCTCTAGGCTTGGTTTTGTTCAGTTTCTAAAAGAAGCCTAAGGAGGAGATCGTGTGGCTCTGCGGCCCCCGTGTCTGCTGTCTGTTCCCACCATCTGGGTCATGGGAACATTTGGGGCTCAGGTGCCCCAGGCCCGGCCTTGCGGCCTCACCTCACAGGTGCCCCACACCTGACTGTTCAGTGGGAGAGCAAAGCCGCAAAGGGTCTCCTTCCTATTTTTATTGCGTTAGGAACTGGTTTGTGGTATTTGGAGGTGTTCTGATCCTGAGGCCACAGGCCTCATCACCACGTGTTGTGCCAGCTGATGGCTCTGCGTCCTGTCTTGGCACGTGGCCTGGTCTTGGTGTGTGTCCAGAGCTGCTTCTGTCCCGGCTGCGCTCGCTCCCGTCAGCACGGGGCAGCCGAGCAAGTGCGGCGTCCGTCAGAGCAGGTTTAGAGAGTCACGTTCTGAGAGCACAGAATGCCAGGTTACTGGCCCCGCAACACACATTGGTACGTGCAGCCCCATCGTGGTTCTGCTTCGCAGTGGAAAACTGAGAGGTACCGGTAGCGACTTCCACACGTCGCTGTTTCTGTTTAATAGCCAAGAACTGAATTTTAGTCTCAACAGGAAGATTCCGTTGCCTCCCTTACGTGAGGGGAAGTATCTGTCCCCGCTTTGTCCCTTCGGCGCCTGCAGTCTTAGGGCTTTGAGAGGCCGGCAGGGCCAGAGAGAGGGTGGCCCAAACGCCTGTAAGTTAAAATCCTAGGCCCAGTCTACAAGTTGATCACCGTAAAATGAAGTATTTTTTGATGTGAAACATGAATTTCTGAAGGTGGGGATTGGTGGTGTCTTGTCACCTGAGGGGGCAGGGCAGGTGGGGGCATGTGCTGGCCACTGTGGTGTCTGGGGCATGTCCTCTGCTAACCCATGTACCGCTGTCTTTCCTTGTCGATGAAACAGCCAGACCAAATCCGTTTGGAATGCCTGGGATCATGCCGCCGTACGTCCCCCCCCAGATGCTCAACATTCCGCAGACCCCTCTGCAAGCAAAGCCTGTGGTAAGGCCCTCCTCCCCCTCCCGCAGCTGGTCTGCCTGCTTTGGGGCTTGCTGCATACACATCAGGTTTTAACAAAAGCTAAAATAATTTTTTAGGCCGTTGAGCTGATACGTGAAGCAAGTGCCAGTGTTTCTTGAGTTAAGACGCAGCCAGGACCAGGCGTTGCGACGGGAGCCGGGTGCTGCGGGCCTCGAGTGCGCGCGTGACCTCTGCCCTCTGTTCCAGGCCCCACAGGTGCCCAGCCCAGGTGCTGCGGGCCAGGGTCCTCACCCGTACAGCCTCGCTGAGCCGGCCCTCGCTGTGGAAACGAGTGGAAAGAGTCTGACTGAGCACAGCACCTACAGCAACATTCCTCACGAAGGAAAGCATACCCCGCTGTACGAACGGTCATCCCCGATCCACCCGGCTCCGGGCGGCAGCCCCAACCATGTGGACTCAGCGTACTTTCCAGGGTCTTCTACGCCGTCGTCTTCCGACAACGATGAAGGTGGTGGAGCAGCTGCAAAGTGAGTGGGTGCGGTGTAGCTGGTGCTTCCAGACTTGTGTCGGCTGCGTGAGGCCCGTCACATAGCTCGGTCTCCCGGGAAGCCGCCTTCCATCCTCCGGCGGCCGAGAGTTGTGTGCAGAGAGAGCTGTCATTTGTGGTAGGAAGGGGACATCTCTGCGCACAGACTCGGGCCTTTTGGAGATGAGGAGCAGAGGTGAGACACCTCCTCACGGCTTCCCGGGCTGAAAATCCGCACCGTTCCAGCCGCGCGCGGCCCTGGGCCACTCCTCTGCTGGGGTGGAGTTTTGGGAAAATTGGTTTGTGTGACCCTTAGATGTGGTGAAGTTATCTGGTCAAGTGCTGCTGACCCTTACTCTCCCCTGGGCTGTGAGACCCCAGTCCCCCCCGCAGAAAGCATTTTAAGTTAGACGCTGGTGGCTTTCAGTCTTGGCTCCTGGATCAAGGGGAACTCTGAATCTCCTCTCCTGAATTGAATCTAGCAACTCACATCTCAACTCAGCAGCTTGTAGACCGTTCCTGAAATCACGCCGTTTACCTGACCGGAACCAGAGAAAGCTGCAATCCGGGTTGGAACTGGAGAGGAGTATTTTAAATGTGTGTCCCTGGGTAAATGAATTTTCAAATATGTAGTTTGTTAGAATCTGATCAAGAAAGTCTTAAATGCACTATCTTCCTCCTCCTGTCAAATACCATTGTTTTAAGAAACCTGATTCACAAACGGGAAGAAATGGGGAAAAGCAAGGGCCTACCATACTGCTGTGTCTCCTCTTCCTCGTTGCTCCCTGGCTTGTGGCTGGATGGCCAGGGCCCCGTGGTGCTCCAACGATGGAGATGGTTTCTCGTCTTCTGCGAATGCTCGGTGAGCGTAGAGCCTGAGACCGGATGTCCCCTCTCCTCCTCTGTGGAGTGGGCGCGAGTGTCTGCTGACCTTGGGCGGAGCTACAGAGGGCTTTGCTGCCATGCACGGCTGTGTGCTCCACGGAATGGTGGAGCATAACTCTGTATGTAAGCGATTATCGTGGTGTTGCAGTTCTGCAATCCCAAGATGAATCACAGGTTGTACCTTTGCATTTATACTTCTGAGTTAACCTTCTGGAAAGGGAGTATAGTGAAGATGTACTGGGTGTGACTCTGGGCCGGGGTCCAGGCTCGTGTGCAAACGAGAACAGCTGGTCACATCCCAGAAGCTCTTCCCCTCTGGAATTCGAAGGCACTGAGTATTGTCTGTTGAAAATCACCTCGCGCCAGCACGCCGAACATGTCTTTGTGGCACATGTTTGGTCTAGCGAGGGATGCTTTTCCTAGGCAGCTGGGAGCAAGGCCCAAAGCAGGAGGGGGTGTGCCGTGTGCCTGGGCCCTGAGCTGCCTGCAGCGGTCCCCCACCTAGCTTGGCCAGCCACCCTGTGGGGGTGGTAATTGCTGGAGGGCCCCTCGCTTCTCTTGTGTACCCTCAGCTCTGCCCTGTCCCCAAAGGCTCAGGCCTCGTCGCCTCTCTGGCTCTGCCCCGCCTTGGTGCTTTCACGGTGCTCTCTGGAGGAGCTGTCGGAAGGTGGGCTCGCGTGTGGGGTGATGGGAAGTGTGGTGAAGCCTCAAATCCAGACATTGGGTAGCCTTGTGGGCCTATCAACACTTTAGTGTCCTTGAATCCCCATTTATCATGATCAGCAGACATGTTAAAACAGAGAGGAGGGCGGGAAGGGAGAGGCTCTGGGGCCGTACGCCAGGCAGAGCAGGACCCGGGGCCTTGCTGTGCGCAGGACAGGGTTTCACCCTACTGGCTCAGAAACTCAGCTGGAGCAGGAAGGCGTGACCTGCTTTACCTTTGGTTTGGATCTGAGTCGGGAGCTCTGGACCTGCGGCTGCCCTCAGGACGGTCTTGGGGGAAGGAGGTGCATTTAGCCCGGCACGACCCGAGCGCTCGCGGTGCTCTGTGAGCACGGCGACAGGTAGCGCAGACCAGGCACGGGCTCAGGCTGGCGTGGTCTGTGTCGGTGGCATGCTTTTAAAGGATGGTGCTGGTAGGTGACAGGACCATTAGTGAATGAAAGTGAATTGACCTCTCCTCTCCCTCAAAGCATCCTACAAGTGAAAAAGACAAGTATTTTAAGTAGCAAAGAACATAAACGTGCAGTTCACAGAAGAAACACAGATGGTCAGGAAGCATAAAAGGATGTTCGCTCTCCCTTTAAAAAAAAAAAAAGGAATGTTAAAATATAACAAAGTACATTTTTGTGAAACATAGTTGGCAAACACATTTATTTATTTATTTATTTATTTGCGAGAGAGAATGAGATCGAGAGAGCACATGAGAGGGGGGAGGGTCAGAGGGAGAAGCAGACTCCCTGCCGAGCAGGGAGCCCGACGCGGGACTCAATCCCGGGACTCCAGGATCATGACCTGAGCTGAAGGCAGTCGCTTAACCAATTGAGCCACCCAGGCGCCCGCAAACACATACTTTTAAAGTTCAGTAGATGCAAGATCTTGGTTCTCCTGGCACGTTCCCTGGAGCGTGGCACCCTGCGCCGAGGTGGAGCATGAGGTGTGCTCTGTGCCCTGAATGTGGACAGCGGGGAAAGTGGGAGCCCTACGAGTGTGTGCTCACGGGAGAGGGTGTCTCGGGAGTCCTGAGGCGGGAACTTGCCTCCTGCCTGCCGCCCAGGTTCATGTGTGTGTGTGTG